GCGTCCTATGAAGCCGGTGGTGGGTGGTCCAGAAGTCCGGGATTGAAGAGTAGTCAGGAGTCGTAATGGCAGAAGCAGGTCTGGATCTCCTGAGGCAGAAGAGTATCCAAAAAACAGGCAGGTCCGGGGTCACAAAACCAGGGTGAGCCAGAAGCGCGAGCAAACAGGTTCCGGGTGTGAGCTTTGCAGACGATCTGACACCGGAGCGCTGAAAGACAGGGCCTTAAATACTGGGAGAGGTAGTGGGTAATGCAGCGCAGCTGGCAGAGTAATTAGAGCAGAGCAGAGCAGGGACAGGTGGAGCTAGTTAGGCTGAGTAGAGAGAGTGGTGAGCAGAGTGGAAGAAAATTAAGGTGGTAACCCGGTGGAGTGAGAGGCCCATGACATTGTGGAGGCCAGTTCATCTGATGCAGCACTCCATCACTCTCCTTCTTGGTAAAATAGCCCTTACACAGCCTGGAGGTGTGTTGGGTCATTGTCCTGTTGAAAAAGAAATGATAGTCCCACTAAGCCCAAACCAGATGGGATGGCATATCACTGCAGAATGTTGTGGTAGCCATGCTGGTTAAGTATACCTTGAATTCTAAATAAATCACAGACAGTGTAACCAGGAAAGCACCCCCACACCATAACACCTCTTCCTCCATGCTTTACGGCGGGAAAAACACATGCGGAGATCATCCGTTCACCTATACCGCGTCTCACAAAAACACGGCGGTTGGAACCAAAAATCCCCAATTTGGACTCCAGACCAAAGGACAATTTCCACCAGTCTAATGTCCAATGCTCGTGTTTCTTGGCCCAAGTAAGTCTCTTCTTATTATTGGTGTCTTTTAGTAGTGGTTTCTATGCGGCAATTTGACCATGAAGGCCTGATTCACACAGTCCCCTCTGAACAGTTGATGTTGAGATGTGTCTGTTACTTGAACTCTGTGAAGCATTTACAGTGCTCTGAAAAAGTATTTGCCCCCTTTCTAATTTTCTCTACTTTTGCATATTTGTGATACTGAATGTTATCAGATCTTCAACCAAAACCTAATATTAGATAAAGGGAACATAAGTGAACAAAGAACACAACAATTACATATTTATTTCATAAACAAAGTTATGCAACACCCAATTCCCCTGTGTGAAAAAGTAATTGCCCCCTTACACTCAATAACTGGTTGTGCCACCTCTGCTGCAATGTTGTTGATCAGTCTCTCACGTCGCTGTGGAGGAATTTTGGCCCACTCTTCCATGCAGAACTGCTTTAACTCAGTGACGTGTGGGTTTTCAAGCATGAACTGCTCGTTTCAAGTCCTGCCACAACATCTCAATTGGGATTAGGACCAAGCATCCCTAAACCATCACACCACCACCACCATGCTTGACCTTTGGTATGATGTTCTTACTGTGGAATGCAGAGTTTGGTTTTCGCCAGGCATTACTGGAACCATGTCGTCCAAAAAGTTATACTTTTGAATCATCTGTCCATAGAACGTTCTTCCAAGAGTCTTGATGATCATCCAGGTGCTTTTTGGCAAACTTGAGTCAACTTTTTGGACGAGATGGGTCCCATTATGCCTGGCGAAAACCAAACTCTGCATTCCACAGTAAGAACATCATACCAAAGGTCAAGCATGGTGGTGGTGGTGTGATGGTTTGGGGATGCTTTGCTGTCTTAGGACCTGTACGACTAGAAGGAACCATGAATTCTGCTCTGTATCAGAGAATTCTACAGGAGAATGTCAGACCATCCGTCTGTGAGCTGAAGCTGAAGCGCAGCTGGGTCATGCAGCAAGACAATGATCCAAAACACACAATCAAGTCTACATGAAAATTGTTAAAAAACAACAAATTGGAAGTTTTGGAATGGCCTAGTCAAAGTCCAGAAACGAGTAGTTCATGCTTGAAAACCCACACGTCACTGAGTTAAAGCAGTTCTGCATGGAAGAGTGGGCCAAAATTCCTCCACAGCGACGTGAGAGACTGATCAACAACTACAGGAAGCATTTGGTTGGAGTCATTGCAGCTAAAGGTGGCACAACCAGTTATTGAGTGTAAGGGGGCAATTACTTTTTCACACAGGGGAATTGGGTGTTGCATAACTTTGTTTATGAAATAAATGAAAAAAATATGTAATTGTTGTTATTTGTTCACTTATGTTCCCTTTATCTAATATTAGGTTTTGGTTGAAGATCTGATAACATTCAGTATCACAAATTTGCAAAAGTAGAGAAAATTAGAAAGGGGGCAAATACTTTTTCATAGCACTGTATTTGGGCTGCAATTTCTGAGGCTGGTAACTCTAATGAACTTATCCTCTGCAGCAGAGGTAACTCTGGGTCTTCCATTCCTGTGGCGATCCTCATGTGAGCCAGTTTCATCATAGCTCATGATGGTTTTTGAGAGTGCACTTGAAGAAACTTTCAAAGTTCTTGAAATGTTCCAGATTGACTGACCTTCATGTCTTAAAGTAATGATGGACTGCTGTTTCTCTTTACTTGTTTGAGCTGTTCTTGCCATAATATGGGCTTGTTCTTTTACCAAATAGGGCTATCTTCTGTATACCCCCCCCCCCCCCCCCCCCTACCTTGTCACAACACAACTGATTGGCTCAAACACATTAAGAAGGAAAGAAATTACACAAATTAACTTTTAAGAAGGCACACCTGTTAATTGAAATGCATTCCATCTCATGAAGCTGGTTGAGAGAATACCAAGAGTGTGCAAAGCTGTCATCAAGGCAAAGGGTGGCTATTTGAAGAATCTCAAATAAAAATATATTTTGATTTGTTTAACACTTTTTTGCTGACTACATGATTCCACGTGTTATTTCATAGTCGATGTCTTCACTATTATTCTACAATGTAAAAAATAGTCAAAATAAAGAAAAACCCTTGAATGAGTAGGTGTGTCCAAACATTTGACTGGTAGTGTACATTTTATGCAAACATATTTACAAATACTTTAGAGTATTAAATCAATAATTATAAACTATTAGGAATCTTCAGTGGTGATCAGTTACAATGGTGGAAACATTTCCAGTACTGACAGATGTATAACATACGGGAAATCCTGAAATATTTGGGGAAGGCAAGAAGTTTTTCACAAACCTATATGAATGCAATCGAGTTGAATATATCGCTTTGAAGTGAGGTAGCAACTTGTTTCCAATTCTGTAGAGATGTGCGCTACAGTACATTTTCAACAATGACACACTATTGGAGCAGCATAACATCCTTTAACAAACTCACTGAGCATAGTCAGTTAAAATTTGATGTTAAAGGGATACTTCGGGATTTTGACAATGAAGCCCTTTGTCTACTTTGCCAGTCTGATGAACTAATGGATACCATTTTTATGTCTCTGCATCCAGTATGAAATAAGTTAAAGGTAGTTTTGTGAGCCAACGCTAACTAGCGTTAGCGCAATGACTGGAAGTCTATGGGATCTAGTAGCATGCAAGCAGTTACCATAGACTTTCAGTCATTGCGCTAACGCTAGTTAGCAACTTCCTGAAGTATCCCTTTAAGCCCTTCACACCCTACCAGTGCATGCCTGAGAGATGGAAGAGGCAGTGCAAATTTCAACACATCTAAGGAAGTATATTTCTGTCTTTCTCCGAGTAGCATTTTGATAAACTAGGATATTAATACTCTGAGCGGTGAATCTTTCATAACTAGTACCTCTGTCATTGGTAGATAAAGATGAACAACAAGATTTGAAATGTAGCATTCATTTGAGGGAAGGAAACCTATACAGTTGTGAATTTCATTTTACAGGGAGGAAGTCCCTTTTCTTTAAATAAATAGCTGCACATATCAAAACAATCTGGTCTTATGGTGCAGATGTACAGTCAGGTCCAAAATTATAGGAACCCTTGATAAAGATGAGAAATAAATAATACAAATACCGAGGCTCTTTGGCCACGCACACCAGTTGTGGGTTTGGTGTCGAAAGAATGATGTGATAAGCAGAAAATAACACCATACCTATTGTAAAATATGGTTGTGGATATTTGATGTTATGGGGTTATTTTGCTTCTACTGGTCCTGGCGCCCTTGTTAAGGTCAACGGCGTCATTAACTTTACCCAGTACCAGGACATTTTAGCCAAAACACCTGATTGCACTCTGCCAGGAGGCTTAAACTTGGCCGCAAGTGGATCTTTCAGCAAGACAATAACCCCAAGCACACATCAGATTCCACAAAGAAATTGTTAATTGACCACAAAATCAACATTTTGAAATGGTCAACTCAGTCTCCGGACTTGAACCCCATTGAAAACCTGTGGTTTGAATGGAAGAGGGCAGTCCATAAGCGCAGACAAAGAATATCAAGGATCTGGAAAGATTCTGTATGGAGTAATGGTCTAAGATCACTCCCAATGTGTTCTCCAATCTCATAAAACATTTTAGGAAAAAGGCTCAGTGCCATTATCCTCGCAAGGTGAGGTATTGAAAGGTATTGAAAACGGGGCGCCAATAATTTTGGCCCCCATCTTTTTGGAGAAAAAAAAACAAGTATTACTTGTAATAAATTATCTTTCTCTGAGCAATTGTATTAGTATAAAATAATATAATTTCCCAAAAATGTTTTGCATACAATATAGCTCAGTATTTGCATTATTTATTTTATAAAGTCTTTATCAAGGGTGCTAATCATTTTGGACCCGACTGTACATGATTCAGTTGTGACACAAACATATTTATGTCGGGAGACATAAAAATAAAAATAAATCCTAAAAATAGCAAATCTCTCAATCCCAATGTGTCCACTGTTAATCATATTTTGCCTTTGAGTACAATGAGGTTCACCTTAAATACGGCCAATAATATGGCACTGAAAATCTTGAATTCTGTTTGAAAGTTTGCTTTGAACTCAGATAAATATGTCCTGGGACACTGTACTATGCTAAGTCCACCCAAACCTCCCCTCTGCCTAGGCTACATGATTGTTGTGGTGTGGTGTGTTGTGCCGAGACAGGTGTTAGGTTAAGAGGTTGCCTGCCACTGCCTATTGGGCCAGTTTCTCCTTAACTGGGGACAGCTCCTCAGATGCGTCCCCTTTCTCCTGGTTCCAATCCTTCAGGCCCTCTGGCAGGCTGGTGTCCTCTTCAAAACTGCCCGTCCCCTCCACAAACTCCTCATATGTCGACTTCTCCTCAAACGGCCGCGGCCCCAGCAGCTCTAGCATGTCCGCCTTGTTCAGGACCTCCTTCTCTAGGAGACGCTTCCCCACCTAGGAAGAGGATAGAAGAACAATGATGTCGCAGTGAGCTCAGTGACATTCATCACACTTCAGGATGGACATGGGTAAGAGCCAGATAGCAGCTCTAGGGACTACTAGGTTTATGTTTTAGCTCAGCAAGAAAACAGAATGTAGATGGGTGTACCCTTGATAAGACAGCATGAAAAGTACTCTGAAAACCTTGGGACTACGTGATGTTCATGTAGGTCAATGCAATTCTCACCATGTCCACACACTCCCTCTTGTCCATAATGAGCTCCATGGTCCTCTGGTAGGCGCTGTCCACCAGGTCTCTGACCTCCTGGTCTATGAGCTCTGCCGTGGCTTCGCTGTAAGGCTTCTCCATCACCATCTCCCCCTGCCGAGGCAGGTCAAACGACACCTGGCCCACCTTCTCACTCATCCCGAACTGCACTATCTTGAGGCCGAAGTGATTGGGGGATTTC